GAGTCGCAAATACGAAGCACATTTTTCAGTGGTTCGAGGGCTTCTCCAAGGGTGAAAATTAAAAAATCGCTTTACTTGAAAAATATAAATCCAAACGAATTAAAAGTTGTATTTTCTTAAATAGTTTCCAGAGGGCTTTCTTGTGAAAAAGTTTGAGGGAATTCAATTTTTGCATTTTGCACACCTATCTGTAGTATTTACAGGAAGTCACTCAATGTGATTCCATTTGTATTTGAATAAACTGACGTTTCTACTAAGCCTCATGCTAATTCCTGACAAACACCTATTGCATCCACCCCCATTTTCCCAAGGGCGGTTGCTTAATAGGAGTTTGACTGTAAATGTACTCATTCTAATTTAATGTGTAATTTTTACACAAGATAAAACCCCAAAATACCTTGTCCAAATGTGAAAAGCCGACCATCTCTGGTTAAAACCACAGAGAACTGTGTGCCACAGCATACTTTCTTAACACCAACACCTGCAAATGTCTCTATGGGTATTGGTGAGGGTTTAGCTGTGGAATTCTCTAGTCCAAGTTTACCATAATCTCCATCACCGAAGGCCCACACAGTGTTACCATCAACAGAGAGTGCTAGGGTGTGGTTCAAACCACATGCCACCTACAAAACAATAAAAATCAAAACACTGGCTGTCATTCACATCAATTGAATATAGTATAAGTAGTGGTTTTCTCAACAATGTCATGTATCATATAGTTCAGCCTAAAGTTAACATGGGCACCTTTTCTTTTAGACACCTTGTCAATGAATGTTCATTGTTAGAACAAACTTTCAATGACTGTGGTTGTGAATTGCATCTGTATCATTTGGTGATTGTACCTGTACTTCATGATACTGATAATGATAATGATAATGATAATATTGCCAGATTTTCGTAGCAGTGAGATTGAAATCAAACATTCAAAAAAGACTACACACCATTTAAATTTGTAAGACATGTTTCAGATACTCAGAATCCATCTTCAGTTAAAGGATGTTGACAAGTGAGTGACTTTATATAAAGTAGGTAACAAGTAGGTGTAAATTACAAAAGGTAGGATAATAGTTACAAAACAGTGAAAAAGTTACATACCAAAATGTCTAGTGGTATCACCGACATAACAAGTATGACATCCTGCACATGTAAATTTGTAAACCACCTGGTTTTATGAAACCACCAGACATTTTGGCACCAGGGTTCGTGAGCACTTACTCTCGGATCGCAATTCCCATATCTATAAACACCTTCAGGGTTCTGAGTCATGTAAGAATCTATGCTCTTTTAATTGTTTTTCCATCTTAGACTCAGCTCTTACTACTTTCCAACTTAAGATCAAAGAAGCCCTTAATATTGAATGGGAATGACCCGCATTGAACAAACAACTCAAACATGTTAATTTAACACTCTTAATTTAATTTAACTATAAAAAATTGTGATAAAATATTTCTAAGCATGTTGAGAAAGGAAAGTTAAAAATATTGTTAAAAAACGATGACATTTTGACGTTGAACTAACGTCATTATCAAGTCAAAATGATAGTTAATAAAAAATGTATAAATAGTCAGTAAAACAATAGTTCAATGGATGTGTTAAAATGTTTAAAATAAACAAAGAGTTTCGCACGGATGGAGTCAGTTTGCGTGTTCAAGCTTGGATTCCTTTCCTTTATGCAAAGCATCTCATAGACGAGGCAATCAAATTTCCCTTGGCACTTTCAGAGAATTCGAAACAATGGGATCTGTAGAGTTTATACAACATACCCGTATGAAGAGAAGCCTATACAGTATATATACTCAAGTAAAAGAAACCTCTGCTTGCCTTTCCTTGGTTTACATTACTCTTTTTGAAGAACTATTGTCTGAATGCTTCAACCATAGTCTGTTTACAAAAAGACTGCCATCCATGTTCTCAATAAATGATTTGATTGGTCAGTTTTATTCCAAGTGGTCCAGTTCAAGTACTCACTGTAAGAAAATAATATTATGTCATGTAGTTTCCTTACAAAATTCTTTAGCCACATTATTGAGCCCAACTCTCTCATGACACAAAGCCTGGTAGAGGACTTTACAAGATGTACAAGTTGATGTATTTCTCCAATGAAGTAACATCGCTTTTGGTTTATCACTTTTATTAACTGCTATTACATCCAGTGCATTCTGACTAATTCCAAGGTGAATTCCCAGCGGCTCCCACTTTGCAGCAATCTTTCCTGCCAGCTCATCTAGTTCACGGTCACTAAGTTGGCCTTCTTTAAAAGTAACTGTGTGTCAAAGAGGAGAAGTTTACACTTAACCAGTGATGTAATTTTGTTACATGAGTATTCTATCATTATTTTCTCTTGATTCGTGACCTGATATGTGGCTATGTTTTGCCAAAGTAAGAATCAGAAAACCTTTTTTCATTGTTTCACCCACCACCAGCAATACTAGGCGATTTTCCTGATCCGAAAGAACAGCTAATATTTTTAAAACCAAGAAGAGNGTATGAAGAGAAGCCTATACCGTATATATACTCAAGTAAAAGAAACCTCTGCTTGCCTTTCCTTGGTTTACATTACTTTTTTTGAAGAACTATTGTCTGAATGCTTCAACTATAGTCTGTTTACAAAAAGACTGCCATCCATGTTCTCAATAAAAGATTTGATTGGTCAGTTTTATTCCAAGTGGCCCAGTTCAAGTACTCACACTGTAAGAAAATAATTATGTCATGTAGTTTCCTTACAAAATTCTTTGGCCACGTTATTGAGACCAACTCTGACGTGACACAATGCCTTGTAGAGGTCTTCATAAGGTGTAAAAGAAGTTGATGTATTTCTCCAACGAAGTAACATCGCATGTGGTTTATCATTTGCATTAGTAGCTATTACTTCCAGTACATCCTGACTAATTCCAAGGTGAATTCCTAGCGTCTTCCAGTTTGCAGCGATCTTTCCTGCCAGCTCATCTAGTTCAGGGTCACTAAGTTGGCCTTCTTTAAAAAGTACTGTGTGTCAAAGAGGAGAAGCTTGCAGTTAACCACTGATGTAATTTTGTTACATGAGTATTCTATCATTATTTTCTCTTGATTCGTGACCTGATAGGCAGCTATGTTTTGCCAAAGTAAGAATCAGAAAACCTTTTTTCATTGTTTCACACACATTCATTTAAAATAGTAAATCAGTGTAATAGATTAGATTGGCTTTATTTGTTCAATTATATAATCAAAGTGCTATATGAGCAAGCCTTGTGAATATAAAGGGTGAATAAAATTATGTCAGGTGCTCCTGACTATTGGCTCCTGATTACATACATAATTTATCTCCCTCAGAGCTTTATTATCTAGCTCTCTGCAACACTGCAGGCCTATGATGAGGGAGCATAAATTATCTCCCTCAGAGCTTTATTATCTAGCTCTCTGCACGCACTGCAGGCCTATGATGAGGGAGCATAATTGAAGGGGTGAGTGCAAAACCATGCTAAGTGACGATTTGGGTGAAAAAAAAAATTTTCGCAAAAGGGCTTGAATTTTTGCATGCGGTCTNAATACAGTTAGATAATAATAAGATTATTATTTATTATTAATTAATTATTAATTTACGCATATATTTTGGCGACTAAAATTTTTCACTGGCGACCAAACCTGAACAGTCAGTGGCCAAATGGCCACTAAGAAAAAAAGTTAACTTGGAGGGTTGATTTTGTAATTTACACCTACTTGTTACCTACTTTATATAAAGTCACTCACTTGTAAACGTCCTTTGACTGAAGATGGATACTGAGTATCCGAAACATGTTTTGCAAATTTAAATGGGTGTGTCATATTTTTAAAAGGTCCTCAGATTTTCTCCCATAGGTCTTTCTCAAAAAAAAAAAAGTATGTGATGCAACCCCGCAATACAGCCATGCTGTTAAGGTTGCTTGAGGTTTTATATTAAGCCTACTAACTCCAGCAAACGTTTTGCCGAGACCTCCGTAATCGCACTGAGATTTTACCGAGATTCAGGAAGACACAAACATCTTCATGAGATTGGCAAGAATCCCGCCGAGGTTGCCAAGATTTAGCTGAAAATGGCAAGATCTGACCGAGATCTTTTAAAACTCCGTTTGGAAAGACAAAACCTTCTTCATTAGACTGGCAAGAATGTCTTCTAATGAGTGTATTTCTCCTGCAGGCAACACACAACAAACTTGTTGAAAGAATATTCTTGCCAAGGTTGTTAACTGAGCAATATGATTGCCTGATTACTGATGGTTTTTTGGCTGTAGAATGCATGTAACCACGAGGGAAACCGTGGACATCTTGTGCAATTTTTTTTAAAACAAAACTTCATAATTGAAGGGGTGAGTGCAAAACCATGCTAAGTGACGATTTGGGTGAAAAAAAAAATTTTCGCAAAAGGGCTTGAATTTTTGCATGCGGTCTTCAATGTAATAGAAAAACGTGGTCCTGTATTTTTGTCGCT